AATTTTGTTCTGGGCTGTTCTCACGGATTTGTGTTTACCCTAGATAGACCTTAGTTTATGATTTATGATAAAAACTGTCACCATTATCTCATTGTCTTATTACCTAATTTAAAAATGTGCCTAGAAAGTATCAAGCATTAGTATTAGCTTCCTATTATATCTCTGTACTATAATAAATTGTGTGGGGTTCATTATGATGTTTTAATTGTCCTATTTGGATTCTGAACAAATGTTCTTTTATCTCAAAGTATTCTGATGGTGAAGACAGACACACTGTTTGTGTGGTTTTCATGTAAATTATTTTGTTTGAAAAGATACTGTGTTGGTTTTCACCTCCCTTGAGTCAGATTACAGCATATTTCCCCAACATTTTCTCCACATATCCATCAAGACATGTGGTGCATCTGAAGTCTACCCTAGTTATAGAGTCAAAATCTTGGGTGCAAATCCTTTGTAGCTGTAAGTTCTAAAATTTCAGGCAGAATTTCAAACAAAGTTTTCATATTGTAAAATTGGGGAAACTTACTTTAAAAGATCCTCATAAGAGATAAAGGAGAGCAGATATACTCTGGGGAGAGAAACCAAGATTGATGCACTATGAGAATCGCTGGAGTTCTTGTTCACACACACACACACACACACACACACACACACACAGACACACTTCCTGTATTTACTCTCCATTTGCTGAATCATAATCTCTTTCTGAGGGCCTGGGAATTTGTACATTAGTTTCGTGTACTCTACATCTGGCTTCCCCCAAGAGTGACATCTAGCATAGCTGTGAAACAACACTAAAACCAGGAATTGACATTGGTACATTACTGTTAACTAGGCCACAGACCCTCTTCAGTTTTCACCATTTTTAAACCTGCATTCATTTGTGTGTGTTTATATGTGCACATATGTGGTTCTATGAACTTTTGGAGTTTTGTATGTTTGATAAACCCTCCAGGTGAGTTATAATCAGACACAATGTATACACACTGATCTGATGCAATTATTCACAAACAGAATGCAAAAAAATCACCTAGTGGCTTTTTAACCCTACACTCCCCCCCCCAGGTTCTCATTCAGGAGGTCTGGAATTGGGCCCACGGGTTTGCATTTGAACAAACCCAGTTGATTCTGATGCTAGTCTACAAACCAAACTTTGAGAAACCCTGATTGTCATGTTCAGCTGGTGGAACTAGTCTTCTGTGGAGAGACACTCACAGAGAGGAAGCGAGCGGTAGCAGTCGTGGACCATGATTAGTTATTGCAAGGAACGTGTGTACTAGGACCAGCTTTGGTGTAATTACCTGTATCAAGTGGGGCAATTTGGTTCATTCACCACTCCGTTACTCAGGTTTTTCATCTGTAAAAGAAAGTGAATGGATTACGTCACCTTTTATGTCTCTTCGAGCTCTCAAATCTTCTGACTTTATCTTTGCAATTCTCTGATTCTCTAGATTTGACAACATTCTCATCTATTTTTTTCCCAGGTTGTGATGTAAGACATGGACATTTAATGAAAGTCAGATTGATGTGAAGGGATCAAGTTGATTTCATAAATCTAAGACATTATTGATTATATGAATGTTGTTGATATATTTCAGTCCCTATGAGTGGAGGTTATTCTGTAAATAGAAAAAATAGTAAATGAATTAACCATTTCATAATACATAATTCACAAATATTTAATAAAAATAAGTTGCTCTGAATCAAATTTTGTGCCTATGAATTTCCAGTTTTAGTTATTAAATTTTGATAAATACCCTTTCCCCTTCAATTCAATGTAAATTCTTTAAAGAAGTTATCTATCTTCCCATTTACTTTGTCACACTTCTGACCTAATTGTTACGAACCACGTTTTGTAAGCTCTCAAACGAAACCTCAATCATCCAAGCTAGTCACGCAATTTAGAATGAGTTTGCTGAAAGCAGTTTTCTACGTAGACAGAATTAGACCAACAGCTGGAACCACTTCTGCCACCCAGAACTATAATAGTTTATTTATTATTGCTTGTCTTTATTGTATCCATTCACAGCTGAAGTCATTTGGCACAATTTAAGATTCTGAAATGAAGACCAGTCTCTGTCTCTATATCTTTTGACAAAAACAATGAGAAAAACACAGTATGCACCCGAAGGCACAAAGTACACAGCTCCCTGGAATTGTTCTCAATCCTAGCGAAAGTAGAGGTGGCAGCTGCCCATGGAAACCTCAGAGTTGAGTTTCGTATTCTCCCCAGATTTGATGACTTTGGCCCTTGTAAGTATTCCTTAACTTTGAGCTCTTAAAAAATATTTTGTCTAGATTTCTGGCTTGTCGATGGAGAAAAACTACTGTAGGCATGCATGACTAAAAAGATAGCTGTGTCAGTTTCCAGTGGCTGGATTTAGTCATACATTCTTACCCTTGAATACTGGATAGTTATTTTTCTATTGATGAAATTCCTTCAATAAGATACTGCATCTTCGGCTGTCATGTAGGTGAATATTTTATTTGCTTATTATAGTCTGGCTGTTTTAAATACTCCAAATGGAGGGTAGGAGGCAAACTAAGTGGGATAGAGATTAAGGTGTCAGATTAGGAGCCAGTCCACGTCGTTCCCAGTCCCAGCACTGTTGTGAGTTCATCACCTGGAGCGAGTTGCTGGATCTGTTTCTCAGCCTCAGTTTTCTTATTTGCAGCTTCAAGAATGATATGAATATCTGTTGTGCCCATTTCACTGGGTTATATAATAAGATTGTATATGTTAAGGTAATTTGCAAATGCAGATTTTAGATCTTAGTTTTATCATCTCTGTAATGAGAAACAGGATTAAGAATACAAGTGAAGATAATTAAATAGTTCATATAATTTCTGTCACCAGTATATATTTTTAAAGGCATAACTCTGTTTCAAAGATAATGTTTTATTGTGTATATACTAAATATGTTTGATATGTTGCGTGACAACATGTGTGGAAGGAAAGGTACCAGTAGCTACCTGGAATATGTGGGAACTTTTTTTTTAATTTAACTTTTTATTTTAGAATACTTTTATATTTACAGAAAAATTGTGAAGACACAAAGTACTCAGATATTCCACTGTCTGTTTTCACTATTATTAACATCTTACCTTGTACGCTACATTTGTCTCAATTAATGAACCAACCTTGATACATTTTTATTAACAGAAGTCCATAGTTTATTCAGATTTTCTTAATTTTTACCCAATGTCCTTTTCTATTCCAAGACCCCATCCAGGACACCATATCACATTTAGTTGTTATGTCTCCTTGGCTCCTTATGACTGTGACGATTACTTAGGAATTTTTCCTTTTTGATGACCTTGACAATTTTGTAGAGTCCTCGTGGTATTTTATAGAATGTCCAGCAATTGGGATTTATCTGATGTTTTTCTCATTTTCAGATTGGGGTTATCAGTTTTGGGGAGGAAGATCACAGAGGTGAAGTGTCATTCTTATCACACCATATCCAGGGTACATACTATCAACATGACTGATCAGTGCTGACGTTGACCTTGATCATCTGGCTGAGGTAGGGTTTGTTAGGTTTTTCAACTGTATAGTAATTATCCACCCCCCCACTTTTGATACTGTACTTTTTGGAAGGAAGTCTCTATTAACAGCCCATACTTAAGAAATGGGAAGTTTTTTTCCCCCTCCTTGCAGAGGGAGTATCTACATAAATTATTAGGAATTCTTCTGCACGGGAGATTTGTCCATTCTCCCCATTTACTTACTCTGTTGTTTATTTATATCAGTATGGACTCATGGATATTTGTTTTATACTTTAGTTATAATCCAATACTACTTTATTTAGTTGCACAAATCTTTCCAACTTTGGCCATTGGGAACTCTTTTAGTTGAATCGTGTGTCCTTTTGACATCAGGATGTGTGTACCTGCACACATGTGTGTATGTGTGTGCACGCGTGCACATTTTGAAGACTTTCTGACACTATAAGATGCTCCTGGATCATCTTGTATATTTTCTCCTTTAGTTCTAGAACCAGCCATTTCTCCAAAGAGCCCTGGTTTCTTTTATTGGAGAATGGTATTAGAAATCAAGAACTGGGTGCAAAGTGTGCTCGTTGTTACTGGGAAGTTGTTTCCAGGTCTTCTCAGATAAGAGAGCAAGGAAATATATGTGTATACTAACCCACGTATATACTCATATCTGTAAACAAGTAACCATTTCTCTGTATTATGCTAAACATGAGTTTGTACTGATGTCTCCTACTCTACTCCATTACCACATTCTGGTCTCTCTGTGCCATCTGTAAACTCCCACTGCAACAGTGAGGTCTTGGGCTCCCACTATCCCTCATCCATTCTCTTAATTGTTCACTTTAGTATACATGTATAGCTGTTTCAGAATCAATAAACTGTACCCCCATGGAGAAAAAAAAAAACCCCTATCAATTAGAGTATGAGTCTTACATAGAGTTTCTTTTGCTTTTAGTCTTACAGACTCGACTCATTTGGAAAGTTGCTTAGGTCAGTATTTTCTTCCACACCACCTTTAGGGAGACTTTTCATATTTTAGTAATACAATTAGATTATTTTGTCATATTCTGCATTCCTTCATGGGGTCCCCAAACTCCTACTAAATGATTTTTTAAAAACTTGTGTACGCTGAGGTTTACTATTTGTGCTGTAAAGTTCTATGAGTTTTGAAAAATTCAAAGTATCCTGTATCCACTATTACTGCATTGTACGAATAGTTTCCACCTTAAAAAAAAATTCCCCTGTGCTTGACTTAATAACCACCACACTGAACTTTCGGCATCTATTGATCTACTTGCCATTTCTATAGCTTTGCCTTTCCCAGAATGTCATACGGTGTGTGGCCTTTTCTTAGTGGCTTCTTTCACTTAGCAATTTGTATTTAAGATTTACCCATGTTTTTTCCTTGCTTGATAGTTCATGCTCTTTTTTATTGTTGAATAATATTCCATGGTATGGAAGGCCCACAGCTTGTTTGTCTATTTCCCCACAGAAAAACATCTTGGTGGTTTACAGTTTTTGGGCAATTATGGAAGTGACTGATTTTCAGTTTGTCCAGCTTTTTCTTCTAAGAATGAGAGTGATGACTTCCCAGCTATTTCCAGAAACCGGAAGTGAGAACTTTTACTTTTTACTCTTCACAATTCTGCATAATATTTTTCTACAGTAAGTATGAATTAATGTTACTACCAAAGAAGCTTTAAGTATATTGCTCATTTCTCTAGTTTATTGGGTAGAGAGCAGATTGAAATAAATCTGAATCGTAAAGCTTTTAAAGCCTTCGTGAAAGGGACAAGAACGAAGGGTGAATTTAAATCACCATTTTTTTGTAATTCTCTGATTCCCTCACAGATATTTAAATAAAAATAAAAATCCCATATGTGTTTATATGCACACATATACAAATACATATGCATATATGTATACATATGAATATATAGCTGAAGAGACAGGAGAGCATATGGCTGTAGCTTATGGACTCCGGAGGCAGAATGCCTGAGTTCAAATCCAGCTCTCTCACTTGCTATCTGAGATACAGTGTAAATTATAAACCAAATTTGTCAGCCTCAAGCACTAATTTTCCCAAAGAATGATAATATGATATGACACTACTGAATGTCTACCATATGCTAGAAATGATATTAGAGTCTGCACATAATTTAAACCACACTTCCGTCCTCTGAAATGTGTATTTTGAAAGCTCTTTTTTAGACCTGAAAATACCGAGGCTCAGAAAAGATATGAAACTTGCTTCAGGTTGCACAGCCAGGAAGTGAGAGAGCTGGGATGTGATTTCAAAGCTGCTGAGCCTCAAACCAATGCTTTTCCTGCTGTGCTCTCTGCTTCCCAGAAACGTCAGGGTGATTAGCAACAATTGCCATGTAGGATCCAGGACAATTTCTAGGATTCCAGTGGGTGAATTTAGCTGGTTTATTTTAAGTTGAACTGGCGGCGTTAGAACTGAACCCACTTCATCCCTTCTCCCTGAAGGAGTCTGCAATCTTTTACAAGGCTGAAGGCCTTCTCAAAGATCATAACCAGTTACACCTCTTTGAGCAATTCACGTAACTGGTTCCTGGATTTCTCTTGTCTCTGATTCTATATATTTACTCCTTTTCCTGACACACTAGCACCCACTCATGTACTTTGGTGATAAACTAGTGAAGATTTTGAGTCGAACCCTCTGGGGTCATATCGCGGTGCTGTGACTTATGAGCTGTGGGACCTTGAACAATTTGTCAGTCTCTATGTCCTAATTCAGGGTACTAGCGAGGCCCTACTCTTAGAGTGGTTGTAAAGGGCTTATTAGCCAAGTGTCTAGCACTAAGCTGTCCACTACAGTAGGCCCAGGAACTGAGCATCCGAGATGAGGCTAGTCCCAATAGAGATGAGCTGTAAACGTAAATGCACAAGGGATTTCAAAAGCTCAGCACAAAAAATAAAATATCTCATAATAGTTTTTAATGTTGATTACATATGGAAATAATAGTATTTTGGATATATTAGGTTTATTTAAAATTTTTTTTCTCTGTTTACTTTTTATTAAGGTGGGTACTAGAAAATTTAAAATTGTGTATGTGTCTTGCATATGTATTTCTATCTGATAGTTTTGCTCTACCATGTACTAGGCACTCACTAAACATTATTTACTATTATTGAGTTCTGCAACCAGGGAGCTACGATCATTTTGCCTCATTTGTGAGCTTGAACTGAATTATTTCAAGTGATATCTTAGTAGCCTGAAAACATTTATTTAACTCCCAGACTAGTAAGATATAATCCATCCCTGAGCACAAAGCTGTTGTCCTTATACAAGAAGAAAGTAAATGTGGCAAGCAAAAGTAAGTTTCTCTTCTTTGCTTTTAGTCTTCTCCTGAGGTCCATCAGACCGTGTTAATGATATTGTAAGACCCGGGATTCATGTTGATTGACATTATGGAGGTAAGTGTTAGACACCTAAAGTATGGCATCTGAATTCTATTCTAATTTCATTTGGATAGAAAAGAATGATTATTGGGCCCTGAACTCTTCTATTCTCTTCACTGTGGAGCTGAGTCAGCAATCTACGACTTCTCTACCCAAAGTCATAAAATAGACTAATGAAACACAATAGATATAATTGGTAAATTTGTAAATAATGAAGCAGTATATAATTTAGGTTTAAAATATTATTCTGGAAAGATTTCATCCACATCAATGTGCTAGGATAATAACAATTAGCTTTATAGTTTTAATGGGGAACTAATATTATTTATGAAACACCATAAGGAACGATTCATTATTCCTCATGGTGTTAATTTTGCAAATGCATGGAAAACCTCCTTAATTATCAAAATTTCACAAGCATTCTCCCTGGGCCATGACTAGATCCTTATTCTGCTTTTTTTGTCAACTCTATTCTAATCCCCTACATGCCCCATTTGAGGGCTCATTTCACTAGCGATCATCCGTACTTTTTAGACCTGAGTTGCTTTCTTATCCACTTTTTCTTACCGCTATCACCAAGCGATGTGCTATCAATTACTCTCAGAATAAGTGATTTCAACTTATTTGTGTATGAAGTACTAATTAAGTACGGTGTCAGTGAAAATGCAATCCATGTCTAAATCACAAGCCATATAGCAAAATTCACAGCAAATGTGTAAAGGATAAAAATTAAAAATCTTGGGGGCCAGCTTGGTGGCATAGTGGTCAAGTTTGTGTGCTCCACTTTGGTGGCCCAGGATTTGTGAGTTCAGATCCCAGGTGCAGACCTACACACTGCTCATCACGCCATGCTGTAGGGGCATCCCACATAAAATAGAGGAAGATTGGCACAGGTGTTAGCTCATCGACAATCTTCCTCAAGCAAAGAAAAGAAGATTGGCAACGGAAGTTAGCTCATGGCCACCCCTCCTCAGCAATTAAAAAAAAAAAACTTTAACATACTCACATGATAGATAGCTATATTCTTTAGATTACTGAAAAAATTCCTTAGTGATAGCTTGACATTTTAGGGAGAAGTGAAGAGACTTCAGCATATGTTTACCAAATTCTCTTATTCACTCAGTATAAATACACTGTTATATACCCAGTTTTAAATAATCAGTATATTTTCTTTTAATATTGAATAACCAGGCCTAAAACTGTCAACCAATTAAAAGATAATTATATCTATAAGATAATCCCAGGACTATGGGATTACTGAATTTCACTGATGTTACCAAGAGTTAGAAGTTCATCATAATATAAAGATTAAAAAACCACCTACTAACTTCAAACTACAGGGAATATCCAAAATTAATACATAGGTAATTCCTAATTGAGAATTCAAAATCCACAGATAGAAAATGTGTCATTATTTGACAGATAATATTATAGAGCAACATTACTATGAAACACAGCTAGGCAAGGAGTGGGGGAAGGCTAAAAACCAGTAAAATTAAAGTTACATGGTTAGGTGTTTTGTTTAGTAAGATTCTGATATTGAAAAATTTTTACATGCAATATTCATTCCATGGCTTGTATTCATCATTGGTCTTCAAGTGAGAATTTATTATCCTGTAAGTTTTACTGCTTAGACCAAATTCGATTTTTTAAAAAAATAATTAAATATGTTAGTGTCTTAGACTAGAAGGATTTTATCTATCACCTATTATGCGAAATAATTACTTACTGACAATTTTAAAAAACAACCTTATTTTTCATTATTGAATTATCTTCTCTTAAAAGACTCGTATTCATGTATTAGAGCTGGCTGCATTACATCAGACTGAAAATGGATCCTGTCATGTGATGGAGAAAGAATGCTGCCAGACAATTCAGTGGTATGGTTTCAGATTATTGAGTGTGATGATCTTTTCTTTAGATTGCTTGATATTGGTAATTTGTTTAGGGCTTTGCATTTATTAAATTCTTCCTCTGCCACTGAATCTTATGCCAACCATCAAACTAGAAGGAGGAATGCCCAGCCTTGTAGACTACCCTATACCCGGCATGTCATCTGGTCTTATCTTCTAAGCACTGGCTTTGTCTCCTTCCTGTTACTTGGACCTTCCCGCCCCTCCACTGAGGTACCTGTTGTTACCTTCTTGGTTATGACTTTAGTTGTCCCCGACTCTAGTCTCTTTAATCATAATACTTTATTAATCACTGCTAGCATTTCTAGAGCATCTACCACATGCTGGGCACCGTACTAAGTACTTTCTGTAGATGTTGTTTAACTTTCACATAAACTGTGATGAGTGCTTCAGGGAGCATCCTAACGGAACCAAATCCCCATTTTACAAACAAGAAACTTGAGGCTCCAAGAGATTAAGAAACTTGCCCAAAGTCCTAACCACCAAGGAGTAGAGCCTGCGTATAGTCTGACTCAAGACTCCATTCTCACCACCAAATCTGTGCCATCCAGACACTGATTCCTGTCACCTCTTTGGGTGATGTGCATTCTGTTTGAAGTCCAAGTGGCTCCCACTCAGGAAGTATCCAGCTTCTCTCCTCCCCACTACACAAGGCAGCGGTCTTACTCAGTTCTCCTCAGCCTGGGTGGGAGCCAGTGAGGGTAGGGAGAGCACTGGCCTCTCACTAAAGTACTACTTCCCTTCAATCTGACACATGCAGGAGAATTGCTAGGTTGTTAGGAGAGTGCAGGTTTATGTATGGAGATATTTTATGTCAGACAGTTCATGTCAGACAGTCTGTCTTATGATGTTGGCCTCCATGGAAACATTGAGTCACAACAAAGTACCAGTCTCATAGTAGGGCTACACCGGTGTACAAGGTGTTACCTCTGCTCTGAAGTGATTTAGCATCTACAGGCAGCCCAAGAGTTCACTCACTTCTTGAGGTCCCAAGCTTGATATCTGAGTGTTCTGGATCAATGTGACAAACTTTGGGTCTCATCCTGCACACTTTTTCTCTCTGCTGGTAAAGCGTCTTCAAACCCAACTTTGATCGGCCTAAGGCAAATGTCCTCTCTTCTTCCTGCTGTGAGGCCCTGGGACATCACTCTAAAGAAATCTTTACTGGGCACCAAATACCCCATGATCCTGGCTCAGAAGTGATGACTTAGTGTCAGGAAGAGCCTTTTATTGAGGCCTGTTGGGAATAAAGGGTGGTAAGTGATTAGCTTGATGCAGAGGGAGGCCTTGAAATCTCAGTGACGGGCATTAGGTCAGAAGTCAGTAGAGCATCGGTGACGGTCTAACCTAGAGGAAACAGGCAGCAATATGACTACACACTACCAGCTGGTTATTTCCCGGACTGTAAGTCCAAGCACATGTGTAGTCCTGGGGTTCTTTTTTAACTTGTGTTCTCCAAGACAGTATTGCTGAACACTCTATATTAAGAAGTTATGTACTACTGATGAAATATTTCAGCTGCATGTATAATTTCCAACATGGTATTTTAATATATTTTCAAACCTTAGTTTGATCGAATAATGTTGGGAAAAGAGAGGGAAATGGAGGATGATAGCTGAATTTTAAAAAAATTTGATAAATGAATGATTGTTTTCTTTAATTGGTGTAATGGATTCTGAGCTTTCTATTTTCAAGGCACTTTTCACCCATGATGGTTATGTCCCCTAGGCTAATGAATGTAATCATCCCCAGCTTGTCAAACCAGCCGCTGAGCTCTAGCCAATGGCACAGAACAGGCATTGGCATAAGGCTGAACATCTGACGATGGAATAAGAGTCTTCTCTAAAGGTCCGATCATTTTGGTGTGGCCTCACGAGGTGGTCTGCAAAGTGCTTCCTCCCTTGCAGGGTATGTTTCTCTAAGGTTGACATACTATTTTGTTCCCTACTCTAGCAATAATTTATTTTTAGTTGCTTTTATTTTTATCTCAAACAGAAAGAGTAGACTTTCATTATAATATATGGTAAAGTTTTACTGTAGGAATTTCTTTCATTAACTATTTTGTTTTGGTTTTAAAGAAAATATGATATATACAACCATGTGCCACACAGAAATGTTTCAGTAAACGATGGACTGCACATATAATGGTGGTCCCATAAGATTACTACCATATAGCCTAGGTATGTAGTAGGCTATACCACCTAGGTTCGTGTAAGTGCACTCTATGATGTTCACACAACGAAATTGCCTGAGGATGCATTTCTCAGAACGTATCCCCATAGTTAAGTGACACGTGACTGTATTATCCTATCTTGGGATCTCTTCTTTCCTAATTGGTATAATTCCTATATCTTCCTCTTCTGGAGTATGATTCTTTAAACAAAAATAAGTATAACATAAAAATTCTCAGGTTTCTCTTTTCAGCCTTATATCTGGACAATGAAATATTTTAACAACAATCAGTTATAGAATGTAGCGTGACAGCCCTATAAAAATGGAGAAGTTGTCTGACACTGCTCTGACAAATATTCCACAAAGTCATAAAGGTGCAGTTATAATTTTTGATCAATCGATAAGTATTTTTTTAAAGGCCTGCATATGGAAATCAGTAGGAGATACAAAAATACGTGAAGCCTGGTCCATAATCTTAAGGAGTATACTATAGATAGAGAGGAGCAGCACAAAATGAAAATGTTGTCATGGTCCAAGAGATAAATGACAGTTTAATGTAACAATAAAGAAGTATATTTACATGATTAATTACATAGTGAACTGTATAAATAAAGTGATCAATTCTTGGAAATTAAAACATGTGAGGTATATTTGCTTGTTGAGAATTTGATCTCCCCAAAGTTGCTACTAAAATTCAAAGTAAGAAAAAAATGCCATTATTGGATTGAGATGTGGCACAAATTGGGTTTCGGATGCTGTGGTATTTTTTTTTAAGATTTAGTTATAGGAATTCTTTAAGACTATCAAAGCTATACTTAATGAAAATAACACTTTGAAACATCTCTCTGTTGATTATAAAGCTCTAGTGTTTTAAAAATTTCAGTCCAAAGAAAGAACAATACATCCAGGTCACTACTGATATAGCCACTACATTTATAGGTGATCGTATTTTGGCCAGGGTTGGTGGTAAATTTCTTACTACCTTTAAGTTTCTTACTATGACAAAGCCATAGATAAGTTAATTCCATTCTCAAGAGTTTATTGCACATCGCTCACCAGGATCAGCAAATACTGGTTTTCAAGAGTTACCCAATTCATTATTGCCTTAAATATATATCCACCCAGGAATTTTTGTTTGGCATCTATTTTGCCAACATTTAATTTGAAAATTTTCCAACCTATTGAAAAGTTGCAAGAATAATAGAATAAACCCCCATTAACTTTGCCAAGATTCATCACTTACTAACTTTTTGAAAGATTGCTTTTTCTTTCTGTTTCTCATTCTGTCTCTATCTTTTCATATAGGTGTGTTCGCGCGCACACACACACACACGCACACACACAGTAGAATGTCTTTTTTTTGGCTGAACTATTTGAGAAGTAGTTGTTGGCATGACTACACAACACTCTGAAATTTTTCAGATGTATCATCTAAGAACAAGAATATCCTCCTGTATGACCACAATACAACTGTCAAACTCAAGAAATCTAACACTGATACAACACGTTATTTAATATACCGCCTTCTTATGTTGTCCCATTTGTGTTAATAATATGCTTTATCATTGTATTTTTAATGTTTTATTGAAGTGAAATTACATATAGTCAAATGCACAGATTTAAGTGTAGAGTTTAATGTTCTGATAAATGTATACGTCCATGTAACTAACATCCCAATCAAAATACTGAACATTTCTGTAACCCAAAAAAGTTCCTTCATGCCCCTTTCTAGCCAATCCTCTTTCCTCTACGTCCCCTAGAGGAAACCACTATTTTTATCCCTATAGATTACATTTGCCTGTTCATGAATTTCATATACATGGAACCATACAGCGTGTAGGCTGTTGTGTTAATTTCTTTCTCTCTGGTCCTGGATTTCAGCCTCTGTAAATAAAGTTTTATTGGAACACAGCCATGCTCTTTGCTTACACTATCTCTGGCTGCTTTCACACTGTAACAACAGCACTGAGTATTTGGACAAAGATTGTATGTCACACTGTCATTGCTTTCCATGCTGCTTGGTGTACTACAAATGACTGCAATACAGTTATGACTCAACAGCATTCGGAATGCCAGGCCTATTCCTATGCCATAACAGTTAATTATTTATTTATTTTTATTACCAGTGCCTACCTACCAAGAAAAGAAGAGAAAAGTCGGTTTTGAAAGTTGTACTTTTAGGACGAGTGAAGGGTGAATTATTTTGTTACCAAGTTAGATGGCAAAGCATTGTGTTTATTATACAGACACACTGTAGCCATGCTAAAATAATATTGTATACATCAACATTATTAGAGTAAACTCATTACAATAATCCCACTCACAGAAAAGCAAGGTTCAGAAAAATAAGAAATTTAAAAATGGAATATCTCATCAAAGCAAAATTTCTTCAATAAAAAAGTAAAAATATCGAAATAAGGCTGAAACCAAAGTAAATTTCTGAGCAGCTCATTTGTAAACCAAGCGAGGAAAACCATTTACCAATGTTGAGTTAATTTAATTGTGTTTGATTGCAGCAGATGAAGAAATGTGTCCAGAGAAAACAAACTTGATTAAGACTATTAGCCTTTTAGTTAGAACAGTTGCTTGAAGAGTTAAGGATGTTGAGAACAACAGATGGAGTAAACATACTTTCCGTATTCCTTGCACTAAGTACAGCTAAAACCCCTGGATATAATATATTAAAAAACATAAGACTCTCAAGATTGGAGAGAAGAACAGAGGCTGAGTAGGGAGCTTATCAACTAGGGAATGACATAGTAGTGAGTTCCTTGACTTTTTTTTCTGGCTCATCTATTCCATACTGGGAACTGAAGAATC